AGGTAAAATCATACTGTAAAACATCCTCATTATATTTTCTTAACATTCTTCTCTACATGATCCATTGTCATGGGATGGTTTGCTAATGAAAATAATATATAACAATAGCTTTAATAATACAAAAGATGATGCATGGCATAGTTCAGTCAATACAGTTCATTAAAGTTTCCTATGACTTACCATTGTGCTGGTTTTTTTTTCATACCTGTTACTATCACAAGGGGGCAGTATTCATATCAACCACAGCTGATTATAAAAAGACCAATCAGCATCCAGATTAAGTTCCCATGGTACAGATTTTTTTTACAGTATTTGATGATTTTGCAGTACATGATTTACATTTACATTAATTATAATTCATGAAGTGTCGTTTTACCTCTATTACTGCTGCTTTCAACACAGTAGCTGCTTTTAACAGAGTAGCAGCTTTCAACACAGCAGCTGCTTTCTACACAGTAGCTGCTCTCTACACATGTGTGACTGGTCCACATAAGTACATCATGGAGCCAACCCATCACATACACTTGTATTTGTATGGGTATATGTGATGGGGTTGGTGCAATGATGTCATCACACCAGGTACTCATATGTGGGCATATCTGCATGTGGGCGGATCCGCTTGGAGACGGATAGAGGAGTGGTGTCTCGGTTCCGAAGACCATTGGAAATATGTGTTTTCTGATGGTCTTAGGCGACCCCTGTGAAAGAGTCATTTGACCCCCAAAGGGGTCGTGACCCACAGGTTCAGAATCAATGCCCTAGAGTTTTCCTAGCTGTCATTTTTATGAAGAAGATCACCAGGCCTTTATTCTGTCTCCTCCAGTGCTGCCAGGTGGGTTGCACCACTAACTTCTCATTCAGTGGTTGAGAGCAAATCACTTGCAACATATAACGGTATTAAAAGTGGAAAGGAGACAAATGGGTGCATAAGCAAATGTGGTGAAGAGAGCCGATGGTGCCCGGCTATAAAAAGATATGGCTGTCTGAGGTCTTAAAGGCTTGAAGATAAACAAGCAGCAATCTAGCTCAGAAGCAACAAAGTCCACATGGAAGAAGCACACCAGCCTGTGTGATCATGAAGTGTCCGTAGGATCAGGTATCAGACATCAAAGAACAAAAATTCATATCATTGTGAATGAGGGGGAGTGCAGAGTGGAGACCCAAAGCCCACCTGTGGATAATTGGACATCCCCTTACGAGGGTGCAGTATAGCACTAATGAAACTTAGAATTTTCCTCTAGTTCTTTAATACTTCCTCACCCCCACTATCATGAACCCAATTCTACCTTACAAATCCAGCCAGACCAGAGCACGTACACTGGTACAGATGAGATTGAAACACAGGAAACACAAGACAGATAAACGCCTCAGGACCAGTAATGAGAGTAGCAATACCAGGAGGGGAAGGGGAAAGTAGCAGCAGGGAAAGGGGAACCGATTACAATGATCTATGTATCACCCCTTCCCAGGGGAACAGACAACAGAAAAGTGGGTAAAGGGAGACAGTGGTCAGTGTAAGACATGAAAAAAATTTTTTTATGAATTGTCAAGGGTTTATGAGGGAGGGGGGAATGAGCTGATACCAAGGGCTCTAGTAGAAAGACAATGTTTCGAAGATGATGGCAACATAGGTATGAATGTGCTTGACCCCATGGATGTATGTATGGATTGTGATTAGAGCTGTAAGAGCCCCCAATAAAATGATTAAACAGCAACAACAAAAGAAAGCAGTGACCTGACACTTGCTAGCTGTGTAACCATGGGCAAGTTCTTCATTCGATCTCTGCCTCAGTTTCTCCATCTGTAAAAAGAAGGCAAGAGTGCCATCACAGAGCGTTATGAGAGTTAAGTGAGTCACTGAGGGTAAAGGACTTACCACTATGCCTGGTACATAGTAAGTACTCAAGTGTGGTTGTTGAGTGCCAACAAGGTGAGGTTCAACTCATGGTGACCCATATGGCAGAGTAGAGCTAACTGCCCCACAAGGTTTTCTAGCTTTTAATCTTTAGGTCTTTCTCCTACAGAGCCTCTGGGTGGGTTTGAACTGCCAGCCTTTTGGTTAGCAGTTCAGCGCTTACACATGGTACAACCAGAGCTCCTTTGCAATAAATTTAAACTTTTATTATTGTCCTCGTTATTCAACATTTCAGAAACTCTCTGAAATGAAGGCCACTGCACGCAAGATTAGTGATGATGAACTTACAATCCCATTATTTAAAATGTCTATTAATTATACAATTAATATCTGATGCACTATATAATTGCAGAAAATGTCAATTTATATTTAATTTGTATGTTAATTGTATCTATTGTACAATCTTTATAATCTGCTACATATTTTGTTCCTGGCTAGAAAAACAATTTGCCGCTTCACAAATCTACAGTGTGTCCTGTAGGCTCGCTGTGTGTCGGAATCAGATTGACGGTAGTGAGTGGAGCTATCCGTAGGTTATGTGGAGGAGACAAGTTCCTATAGCCTTAGAGTTCTTTATTTTTATTTTAATATTTTGTGTTTTTGGTGAAAATTAGCACAGGAAAACATGCTACCATTCAACAGTTTCTACACATGATGTCCAGTGGCATTAGCTACATTTGTCACATCATCTCTGCATTCTCAACATTCCTCTTCTAGTGTTTTACTCCATTAATTTCCTTTCCAAACTGCTCCCCAAACTTTGTTTCTGTGCTGTAATGAACTGTTGTCCATTTGACCTCGGGGATAATGTTTTTTAAAGAGAGCAGTCGTCAAGGGGGACATTCTTCACTTTTTCAACTCATCTGCTCTTTAGTTAAAGGTGACTTAAGGGCCCACTTAAGTGGGTTTGGATATGTTCTAATGGCTGTGAGTAAAGTAACCTTTTATTCTAAAATGTGTAACTGCACTAAAATTCTTTAGAACCCTTTCACAGCTGGTAGTTTGCAAAGATTTGGCATTACTATTTGTTAGTTTCTGGAAACTCTCAAAAAAGGACCCTTCCTCTTCCCTTTGTACAGTATTGGACAAACCCTCAGCCTTGGTTCCTTGCCACAAGATGGCGATCGCGCACCTTAAATTAGGTAAAAGGCTGCGCAAGTTTTGACTCAGACTCTCAGGGTAATTTGTGAAACTTGAGAATTGACTTGTTGACAGCCATCTAATTAGTGGTAGTCTTAAACTTGGAAACAAGCTATTTTTAAGGCTTATCCTTTTGTCAGCTTGTTATGTTTGCGATGTGTGTTTCTTAGAACAGTCCAATAAACAGCTGACAGGTTTCCGAACTGACCTACAGACTTTCATTTAACTTTAATTCTCAATTTATTCCTCTATTTTTACCCCTTATTTAAAATTGTAACTCATTTGAGTTTTTGTTAAGCTGCTTTAACTCCCCTTTGACACAGGTATGGAGCACAAAGAAATGCTCATACCTGATGTTCTTGTATGAATCTGTCCATTCTTCGGGATTCGTCTAGTCATTGTAGGAGTTTGGCATATTTCCTTGTGTTTCTCCTCTTCTTTTCTACCATCAAGTCTCCTGCACCTTCCCACTCCACCCAGAAATCTCAGAACAAACACTGTTGGCTAACTGAATAAAAATCAAGGTTTTTTGTTTTTTTCTTTTTAAAAACCTTTGTGTGTGTGTGTGTGTTGAAAATAATCTATAATTAATGTGCTTAAAATAATATATAATAAACAGTTACCAATTCAACAATAAAAAAACCCCCTCTATTATGAATTGGGTGAAGGTATACAGAGCAGCTCATCAGTTTGACATGGAAAAAGGCATACCCCTTAGTTTCATACCCACTGCAACCCCTCACTTATCCCGCTTTCTCCGTTTCCTGTTTGCATTCTGCCTCCTCACCTCACCCTCTGATTCTTGTCCTTGGGCAGAGTTGCCCTTTGGGTCGCCAATGGTTGGTTATTCTAACATGGCAATGAGCTCAGCTCTAGACTCGATGGGTGATTAAGTGTCGTGGTCTTGGGGGTTCCACCATCCTCTATTTGACCAGTGTTCCTGGTCTTTTTTTTTTTAATGATTTTGAGTTTTGCTCCACATTTTTCCTCCCCCTCTGTGCAGGACCTCTTAATGCAGTCCTTCTCAGAGCAGTTGGCAGTGGTAGCGGGACACCATCTAGTTCTTCTGGTTCCACAAGTTTTACGTGTCCAATTCAGCGACATTGACTGCATTTGTCACGTTGTACAACCATTACCACTGCTTCATTTTCAGAATTTCCTTAGTGTTCTTCAAGCAGTAACTCTTGATCTGTTGCTCTCATCCCTGGTTACCAGTAATCAACCTTGGTCTCTATGCATTTGCCTCATCTATGTGTTTCATACAAATGAGTTCAAATGATACTTGTCCTCTTGTGACTAACATACTTAGTATATTTTCAAGGCTCACCCACGTTGTAGTGTGTATCAGGACTATTTCTCTTTTGAAAAGATTCCATTGTACGTACGTACTCCCATTTTTTGATCGTTTCATCTGTTATGGACATTTAGGTTGTTTCCATATTTTGCTTAATGTGAATAGTGTGGTGATGATGATGAACATTGGTATACAGATTTCTGTTGACATTCCTTGCAAGGGCAAGTCAAAAAGTATTGCTTTTAGTACACAAAAATATCAGTGTGAAGCTATTATTTCTCGACATGTCCTCCATCTAGGTCTATATACTTCTTTTTGGGTTTTTTTTGGAGAGCGCCTCAACTTTATTGCTAACCAACAGTCTATATACTTCTGAAGGCGGTGTTTCCATCTTTGTAACCCTTCCTGGAAGAATTCTGCCCTCTTGGATGTACACCAGGTTAAAATGGCAGTTGTGACACCCTCGAAGTATTCAAATCATGTTCCTATTCAAAGTTCTTTGAGCTTGGGGAATATAAAGAAGTTGGAAGGGGCAAGATCAGGACAGGCGGGTGGATGGGGTAAGGTTTTCTGATGAAGTCCTTGTAAAGCAACTCATGCAGTCTCTCCCGTCAAAGAATGAGCATGGACATTGTCTTGATGGGACATTTCTCTGCAACTTTCCTGGCCCTCATTTCATTCATTCACTTTGTGTTCGTTAAACCTTTTAATGAGCTCCGGTGATCATCCCATGTCCTTTGAGAAAAACATATCAAGATTGTCTTTTGGGGATACCAAAGGACAGTCACCATCACCTTGTGAGCTGGCCTCCCTGCCTTGAAATTCACTGGCCCAGCAGATTTCCTCAAAGCCAGTGTTTGAATATAGATCCTTTTTGAAGGTTCCCTAATGAGACTGAGAAAGAGAATTTTTCTGCAGCAACCTACTGAGAGAAGAGACATGCTTAAGCATGTTTTGTTTGGAGTAAATCCTTGCATGTGCGAACCAGAACCCTTGTCTCAATACTTTTTGACTTACCCTAGTATACCTAGGAGTGGACCTGCCGAATCATATGGTGTGTTTACCTGTTTCCCAGAGCAACTGCACCATTTGACATTCCTACCACCAATGGATGAGGATTTCCTTTTCACCAGCACCTGCTGTATTTTTATTTTTGAAACAATAGCGTGTGAAGGGCTAGCTCATTGTGGTTTTCCTTTGCAGTCTTTTTTACTTACACTTGGCTATTGGAGGTAAAAGGTACTTGGGTTTTAAATTTTGATGCTCTTGATACTATAGTGTGTGTGCGTGTGTGTGTTGAAGAATGGAGGAGAGGCGCTCTTCTTAACAGCGTGGTCAGCTGCCATCTTTGAACAGGGCGCCACTGCCTGCTTCCTACTTGGATCAGAATCAAAACTACCAATGCTTGGTTGCTGGGCAACTCTTATGCTGCCCTTGTTTTCATTGGCCATAACTGACCCATTTCAAAGCGGTCTGAAGCCCTGTCTGACAGACAACTTGCACTAGATGATAGATCATAAGCTGAACTGCTTTTGTTACCACCTTTTGTTACTTGCCCACTTTTCCTATTATTGAGAGCAATAATAGAAAATCCTTCCAATGACTTAGGACAAGACCTTGCAGTCTTCTTTCACTCCTTGCTTTTCTCAGCTCCCACATCTAATCAGTTAGGAAGTCTTCATTGCTTTACCTTCAAATAAATCTCGAATCCAGTCACATGTTAGGATTTTTCTACCATCTTGGCATGAGCCACCATCTGTCTTCCCCAGCTCATCCTCTCAACCCCCGAATTACTACAGTGACCACCTCCTAAGTGATCTAGCACTTACCTTCTACTCTTTTATGTTAGGTGCACAACATGCCGGAGTGGTCTTTTTAAAGTCCATGAGCTACTGCTTAAAACAGTAAGTTACTGCCCAAAGCCCTTAAGTGACTCACCTCACACAGAATAAAAGCCGCCAAAGTCCACAGTGGTCTATAAGACCCTGCAGGATCTAGCTTTTGTCGCCTCTCTGACCCCACCTCCTGCCCTTCTCCCCTTGTTCAATCTATACCAGCCACCTGGTCTCCTTGTTTATGGGACACACCAGTTTAAGCTTTTGCCCCAGTGCCTCTTTCTGTCCGAACACACTTTCCTCAGATACCCCACATGACTCACTCCGTCACCTCTATGAAGTCTTTGCTGAAGACCCAGTGATAGTCATGCTTCCAGTGCCCTGTGCATTTTCCTCCAGAGGCACCCGCCACTTTGTAATATATCATTTAATGCATTCAGGAGTTCCTGGGTGGTGCAAATGGCCAAGTGTTCAGCTACTAACTAAAAGGTGGGTGATTCAAATGCATCGAGAGGTGCCTTGGTAGAAAGGCCTGGTAATCTATTTGTGAATTGTCACAGTCACTGAAAACCCTATGGAGTGTAGTTCTACTCTGACACACTTAAGTCACCATGAACTGAATTGATTTCGAGGGCAACTGGTATTGTTGGTCAAAATTCACTTATTTTTTGCGTATTGCCTATCTCTTTAGTAGAATCCCATAAGGTAGGGATTTTTCCTCCTCCTGTTTTGTTGAATTATTGCTCCCAAGTTGCTAGAATAGTGCCAGGTACCAAATAGGTACCAACAATTCTATCAGTTACATGAATTCATGAATGAATTTTGCATATAGCCATGCATATTAAAACTTTTAGTAGTTGTGATTAAAAACAAGACATACATGTAAAAAATAAACTTAAGTATAAATGTTGGGTGGCAGACTTAAAAAAAACTTAAGTTTCAGGTGTGTTTTCTTTTTCTAACTTTCCAGCTTCAGTTGTAGAGGGCCAAAAAGGTATCATTCCTCGTGCTATTCAAGAAATATTTCAAAACATCTCTGAAAATCCTAACATTGACTTTAATATAAAAGTGTCTTACATAGAAGTGTACAAGGAAGAACTCCGAGATCTTCTGGAATTGGAACCATCTTCGAAGGATCTTCATATCCGAGAAGATGAAAAAGGAAACACAGGTAAAATAGTTGACCGCCTTCATCACCAAGTCGATTTAATTTAATTCCGTTTTCAGATGTGTATTTCACCCCGACATAGACACAAAATGAACTTGTTTTTACCTTTAATGTGACTGAGTTAGCCTGTGTGGAGTCTGACTAGCAGAGCACTTATACCTGCCTGATTGCTCTGTGCTGTCTTGATTCACAAAGGAGCCCTGGTGGTTTCAAGTTGGGCTGCTAACTGAAAGGTCAGCAGTTTGAAAACCACTAGCCCACCCAAGGGAGAAAGACGGGGCTCTCTACTCAAGTGAAGAGCTACAGCCTCAGGAAGCCACAGGAGCAGTTCTACCCTGTCCTACATGGTCACTATGAGTCAGAATTGACGCAATGGCAGTGAGCGCTTTTAATCTTAATTCACAAATTGCTCTATTCCTCAATTAATCTCTTTGGATTTAATTTAGATGGACAAATGAATAAATGAATATAATAGAGTAGCTTATTGATTACCAATATCAGTCAAATTACCAAGGTAAAAAAGTAGGAGTTCAGCTTGGTTGGTAAGGTGAAGCTATTCATTTGTATCTGAAGTTATTGATGCCTTATAATGACCCTTTTAAGGCCAGTCTTACGTGAAACTGTGAACCAGATACATTATTTTTGTACTTTTTTCCCTTTCTCTCCCAGTTGTACCCCAAGACTGGAGTTAGCATCTCCCTTTGTTGTCATTCAAGTTGATTGAGAACTCTTCTTTCTACAGCTTTGATTTTTGTCCCAGTGCACCTATGTCTTTCTCTCTTTTTTGTGAAGAATGTATGTTTTGCTTCCTCATCTGCCCTTTGTTCTGCTCCTTTAGGTCTGCGCTAACAACTTAGTGATCTCATTAACTAATGCCCATTTGTTTCAAAGTGCAAGTATTTTAAAGAATAACACTTTAAGCCTTTCTGGTTAAAAGGGTGATATGTTCATCTCAGAACATTTGGAAAACATAGAAAAGTGTTAAGGAAAAACTAACATCCTCTTTAATCTCAGGAGCTAGAAATGGCAGCTTCCCTTCCTGAGTTATCTCTGTGTACTTACAATGTTAACTGCTATTTAAAAATATATACTCACAACTCTCTACAGTTGACATCCATTTTCCACTTAATATTTGTGTTTCACATGCCATTGCACATTTTTAAAAATGATGACTTCATGGGTTCTATTTTTTTATGGATATGCCAGAAGTAACTTTTGGATATGTAATTTAATAATAGTTGGGCATTAACATTGTTTCCAGGTATTGCCATGACTGTTACCGTCTAGAAAATTCCCAGAGTTCCAGGAGATAAAGGACCCAGCTCAGAGGAGTCATGTCCTGAGAGGAATTTCCTACCATTTAGAAAAGCAGCCCTGGTGGTAGAATTGTTAAGCGCTCTGCTGCTGACTGAAAGGTCAGCAGTTTGAACCCACCAGTGGCTCCATGGGCGGACAGACTTACCAAGTTGACAACTAGTGCTACCCTGCCACACAGTGTCATGATGAGTTCACACAGCAGAACAGGAAACATGGTTACTACCATTAAAATAACAGCCTGCAGAGTGCAGTCAATTTATATTGTATAAGCCTGTCAAGAAGCCCTGACAGGTTACAGCAGTTGAAACCCACCAGTTGCTCTTTGGGAGAAAGATAAGCTTTCTGCTCCTATAAAAAATTGCAGTCTCAGAAACGCACAGGGCAGTTCTAGCCTGTCCTCCAGGGCCACTATAGGTTGGATCGCCTCAATGGCAGTGAGTTTGGTTTTGGATAAGGCCTTCCCTGGTGGCCCTGACATTTCTGGAGTTTTAAAAAGAAATTGGAGTTTATTTTGCTTTGTTTTAGACAGAAAGCATACATGGGACTTGATTGTCTTATAGATAATACAATATAGCTTATCCTTTCTAGGTAGAATTCAGATTAATGTTTTAAGCTTCTGAATCTTTGGCATGTAGTTATTATAATGGAAAATGTAATTGTAATTTTAAAATTACATAATACTATACTTTTATTGTAAATCATGTAAACAGGATAGAAGTTTATACCACCATGCTTAATAAACCTGATAATCAACAAAATATGCCACAACTGATGTCAGTCCTGCAAAAATTTTGGAAGACTAACAAATTACCTTAAGACAAATTGCTATTCATCTTATAGATGACTCACACAGCTAAAATAAATTTATTTGAAATATTTATTTAGTACCACTGTGTGAAGCAGTGGCATTGCGCCTGGTTGCTGTATAACTTGAATCACCTGGAAAGCTATTTTAAAAAATGGATTTCTGGGCCCCACTTCTCAGATTTTGACTTAATTTGACCTGAGATGGTACCTGAGCATCTCTGCTTTCTTTTTCATCAAGCTCCCAGGTGATTTGCATCTGAGTTTGAGACCCATAGTGCTTAGATTAACGTTAGAAAAGATTTATTCAGGTTTTACTATGATTGATCATTGTGACAATACTAATATTGTCATGTTCTTCGATTCTGACGTTTTCGGCCCTGCCTGTTTGTTGTGCTGGTACTTCAGAGCTTCCACTGAGCTGGGTTTTAAAAAAGAATGTGGCATGATGGAGACAAATAAGTGATCTCCCCCCGGGCCCCCACCCTCTTCCTGAGAAACAGTGACAGGAGAGGGTCTGATGAAAGAGGAAGGAAGCCCAGGGCTATGCTGAGTGTAGGTTTTGGAGTTTGTTGCTCTAGTTCAAATCCCAACTGTTCTCATTACCAATTGTCTTTTTTGTTTTCTCACTTCAGTTTTATTGTGGTAAAGTCCCATGAACTTTCAGAAGCACCCGCATATATAATACACATATATAAACATTTACCATTTCAATATTTTTACATGCTTAATTTAGTAAAGTTTGTTCATCATATCCAGCCATCACCACTATTTTAAAAAGTTTTTCATTCCCCACCTACTTCTTTTTGAAATATCTTTGCATATGAATAAATAATGCAGGGAGAGGCATAGGGGTTATATGTTGGGCTGCAAGGTCTGCAGTTTGAAACCACTCCATTGGAGGAATATGGGCTCTTCTAGTCTCATAAAAGCTAAAGTGTTGAAAACTCACAAGGGCAGTTCTACCCTGTCCTATAAGGTCTATATGTATTGGCATCAACTCAATCATAGTGAGTTTGGTTTTTGGTATTCTTCTGTTAAAATAGAAATTTTTTGTCTTGTGTTTTTGAACTGTTCCATGATATTTATCCTGCAGCCCATGCTATGTGGGGCACACATGCTATAAAAACGAAAAATCAATTTTACTGAACTTATTTCTCCCTGGTTATGATGCCACAGTACCAAAAGATCTTAAAGCTGAAAGTGGCTTATATAATAATGAAACCAAAAGAAACTAATTTCTGTGCATGTAAAGCTCTATTGGATAGCGATGCTATAAATCGAAGTGCTAGAACAGTTTCATTTTTAGCCATTTAAAAGGAATTGACTATGACTCCAAAGAAACAGGATTGCTTAAAAATGATGTATTTTTGATGATTAAATTAAAAAAAATTTTTTTTAATTAGGTATTTTTAACTTAAACATCAAGATAAGGTGGTCTGTCAAAATAGTCCCTTTGAGAGATGATCTAAAATTATGTAATGGTGCTACTGATACTACTGTTGTTTGAAATGCTATTGATTTCCTTAAAAGGACTAGATATGTGCATTGGATTGTTAACAAATGATAAATGATGCTTAGTTAACTGTACTGGATTTTGAGTAAAACTTGGTCTAAAAACATGTTCTTGCTGTTTTAAGTGATTGCTGGGGCTAAGGAATGCCCGGTGGAGAGTGCAGATGAAGTAATGAGCCTCCTGGAGATGGGGAATGCAGCCAGACATACTGGATCCACCCAAATGAATGAGCATTCCAGTAGATCACATGCCATTTTTACCATCAGTATTTGCCAAGTGGAGAAAAATATGGAGGTAGCTGAAGACAGATTGTGGCAATCCCCTCGGCATATTGTTTCAAAGTTCCACTTTGTGGATTTGGCTGGATCAGAAAGGGTAACAAAAACGGGAAATACAGGTGAACGGTTCAAAGAATCCATCCAGATCAACAGTGGATTGCTGGCTTTAGGAAATGTCATAAGCGCTCTAGGGGACCCTCGCAGGAAGAGCTCACACATCCCATACAGGGATGCTAAAATAACGCGGCTTCTGAAGGACTCCCTGGGAGGCAGTGCCAAGACTGTCATGATCACATGTGTCAGCCCATCTTCCTCCGATTTTGATGAGTCCTTAAATTCTCTCAAATACGCCAACAGGGCCCGGAACATTAGAAACAAACCCACAGTCAACTTCAGCCCTAATTCAGACCGTATGGATGAAATGGAACTCGAGATTAAGTTGCTCCGAGAAGCTTTGCAAAGTCAGCAGGCCAGTAGCAGCCGGACTAGCCAGACCCATTCTGAGGGAACTCCTCATAAAAATAGGATACATTCTCTTGAGGAGCTCGTAGTCCAACTACAAGGAGAATGTCTGGGTTATCAAAATTGTCTAGAAGAAGCTTTTACCTTCCTGGTGGACTTAAAAGATGGTGTCAGACTCAATCAAAAGCAACAACACAAACTGCAGGAGTGGTTCAATATGACCCAAGAGTTGAGACAGGCAGCCCCCACTCCATGCAGACACCAGGGTATTGGAAACGTGGAGGAAGGACCACAGCACATTACAATTCTCCAACTGAAGAGAGAGCTTAAAAAATGCCAGGTACTTCAATAGCACTTTTCTAAATAACTTAGTTTAAGAATTGATTTATTTTGACAAGTAAATTCTAAGACTCAATTTGAAACCACGGAAGTTTTAAAAAGGATGTTATCTGTGAAATGTCTTTGCTCTCTCTCTCCTGAATGTTAACAAACTGTATTTAAGGGATTCTGCATGCCTTTCACTTCTGTGCGTCAGTCAGTCACCTTAGTTCCTCACAGCTCGTGAAGATTCTTCAAGATAGCTCTTTTAAAGCAACCCATGTGCATCCACTGCTGTTTTCAATATGAAGCTACAGATTTCCAGAGGTGATCACATAGTAATTAGGGAATGACTTCAATTGACTGTACTGTCCAGTAGCCATTACCTTCAGGTCTATCACAGTTCTCTTCTAAGTAAGTATTCTACTTTAACCTCCAATTAAGTATGGACTTCAACATTTCTTGCCTGGAATCTCTTAAAATTATTCACTTCAGGGCCATTTTAGGATCTGCATAGGGAGATTTTGCCGTCCTCTTAGCGTCAGTCATCCTCTGTCATTCCTCTTTCATGAGTTGTAATCCCTTGCCCTCCCAAGCAAAGTACAGATCTGTAGGCTATGTCAGTTTATAAGGTCAAAACCATGTACCCCTTAGATCTTTCATACTTTTCAGCAAATTTCTGTCTTTTTCCTCACAGATTCAGTGAGTAGTTCTATGAGTAAAGCAAACCACATAGTTACTCTGTGGGGCATTTCCAACCATGGGAGCGGTCATGTGAGTCTCTAGAAAAGCCCCATTGGGACTTTTGAAGGTCTCAACAATTCAGACCTTCATTCTCCTTTAGTTCAGATGTGTGTATTACATTTATTTATTTACATTTGGAAGGTTTTTGTTTTTTTTCAAACATTTTTATTGTGAATTGAGTGAGTTTACATTTTAGACCCTCAGTTTGACATTCAACAGTTCAAACCATTCATCAACCCCCTCTCTCCATATTCTATCTATCCCTCCTGATTTCTCTTCTCCCTCATGCCTATCTCCATCCTCCTTTTCACCCAAGTCAACTCCGGTCAACCCTGAAGTCCTTTGCTTCACTTTCCCTCTCTTGCCCTCCCTCCACTTATCTGTTCCCTTTGGTATGCAGCTTCTAATAGTTGTCTTATGTAATATTTGTCTTATTGTGATAGAATAATTTCACTCAGCACGATGTTCTTTAGGTCCATCCATGTCATGAGGTGCTTCATGGTTTCATCTTTGTGTTCCATTGTGCACATGCACCAGAGTTTCTTTATCCGTTCTTCTACTCATGAGCCTTTTGGTTACATCCTCTTGCTAGTGTGCAGTGCTGCAATGAATATGGTTTTGCACATGTCTGCTCATGTTATATCTTAGTTCTTTAGGATATATATATATACGTATATATATATACACACATATATATGTATACACACACACACACACCCACACACCCAGCAGAGTATACCCTGACATTTCTATTGTTTGTTGCTTTCCACATTGGCTGTACTTACTTACAGTCTGAAAATTCATATTTACATGTTTAAATTGTACCTGTTTTAAATATATAGATGAATTTATTTCTGGGTTCTGTATTTTGCTCCATTGGTCTATGTATCTGTCACTGGACCAGTACCAGGCTGTTTTAGCTACTGGAGCTATGTAATAGGTTTTCTTCATAGTATGATCACCGGGTTGTTGCAGCTCCCCACATCACATCTGCATTCAAGACAGGAAGAAAGAGAAAGACAGCATAATGGTCCCTTTTGTCCAAAAAAGAAAATAAAATTTCCCAGAAGCTTCTCATCTACTGGCCAGGACTAAATTGCACGTTCCGGGATGGAGGTGGGGGAAGTGACTGTCTAGTTTTCTAGCTTCTCCAATGAAAGATGAGCAAGAAAGAAGAATGCTGGGGGTGGTGGTGAGGGAGTGCACAGGACAACTTCCACGAATACTTCTTCCATGACAGTGGATTTGTCCTCTTAGCAGTCCAAGGGACCTTCCAATATTCTTCTCCAGTATCACAATTCAAATGCATTGGTTCATCTTCAATCTTCCTTATTTAGTGTCCAACTTCCACATGCACTCTGCTCATAGAATACTTCAACGCTGCAACTCTAGGATTGAATTTTAGGGTACGTTCTTACCGTTTGATATATGCTGTGCTCAGCATCTTCGTCCTTTTTGGCGTTATAACTCCAGATTATCTCACATTTCATTATAGTGCTTTGTCTTCTCAAACTGCCCTTTGCCAATGTGCTGTTTAGCTCTTTCACTTCATCATTGCCCCCCTTTTCTTTAGCTGCTCTTAGATCAAGAGCAAGTTTCAGCGTCTTCTGACACCCAATTTGATCTTTTCTTTCTTTTCTCTTCATATATGGTGTTCTTGATGTCACTCCACAGCTCGTCAGGCTTCTGTCATTAGTGCCTCAAATCTGTTCTTGAAATGTCCTTGAAATTCAAGTAGGATAGACTTAAGGTTGTATTTTGGCTCTTGTGGATTTGTTTTAATTTTTTTCCACTTCAACCTGAACTTACATACGTGCACTTGATGATCCATTCCACAGTCAGCCCCTGGCCTTGTTTTGGCTGCTGATATTGAACTTCTCCATTATCTCTTCCCCACAGATGCAGTCAGTTTGACTTGTGTATTCCATCTGGCAAGGTTCATGTGTGTGGTTACCACTTATGTTGTTCAAAAAAGTTTTCGTGCTGAAGTCACTGTTCTTGCAACATTCTGTCATGAGATCTTAAGCGTCATTTCTATCTCTAAAGCCTTACTTCCCAAATACTGTTCTTTTCTTTGTTTCCAACTTTTATATTCCAATCACCAACCATTATCAATGTAACTTAACTGCATATTTGATCAATTTCAGGCTGATGAAGTTGGTAGACTTCAATTTCTTCATCACTAACTTTAGTGGTTGGTATGTAAATTTGTATAATAGTTGTATTAATTGATTTCCTTGTATGCGTTCAAATATTCTATCACAGACAGATCTTGAAATGTTCCTTTTGATGATGAATGTGAATCATTCTTCTTGAATTTGTCATTCCCAGAGTAGTAAATCATATGATTGTCTGGTTTAAGATGGCCAATATCAGTCATTTTCAACTCACTAATACCTAGGATATTGATTTTTATGGATTCCATTTCATTTTTTATGACTTCCAATTTTCCTATATTCATACTTTGTACCAAGATTTTCAGTGGCTAATCCCTCAGAGAAAACAGCCCAATCCTTCCTCATGGGCTATTCTTAGACTGGAAACTCTGATGTAAACTGTTCACCATATGTGAGCCTGCTGCTATTTGGAATCTTGGTGCCTTATATTCCAAAGTCATAGCAATGTGCAAGCCACCACAGTATAGCCAACTGACAGACAATATACTTTCCCAAAATTCTCATTTTTGCCTGAAACTCGTTTTCCTTGAGGTGATGATGTTGTTGTTAGGTGCTATCGAATTGCTTCGGACTCCCAAGGAACCTGTGTACAACAGAATGAAACCCCTGATCCTATGACATCCTCTCAATGGTTCTTGTTTGAGCCCATTGTTGTTAATCCATCTCGTTGAGGAGCTTCCTTTTTCTTGCTGCTCTCTACCAAGCATGATGTCCTTTGTTTCTAAGGAGCATTCTGGATGTACTTCTTCCGAAACAGATTTGTTTGCTCTTTTAGCAGTTGATGGTACTTTCAGTATTCATCACTAACCACAATTCAAGTTCATTGATTCTTCTTTGGCCTTCCTTATTCAGAGTCTAACATGTACATGCATATGCAGCACACCTTAGTCCTCAAAGTAATGATAGGTCCTCATCTTTGAAATAGTGTTTCCCACATACCCAACTTGGAATAGCTAAAGTTTGTCCCTTGTTCTCTAAATAAGAACAGTGGCTAGTTGACCTTGCAACTCAGTTACGCAGGGGCTTTACTTCATGGCAACTATCACTCTTCAATATTCAACAGAAATACTTCATAGGGAAAAATACTTTATGGGTACGTCCTTTTAAAAAGGGTTAGGATTTAATAAAATCAATTATTGTTGCTTCATCAAGACACTAAGTGAAACAGGCATTTTTGTTTTGTATTGCAAGTGCAAGGCAGTGAAGACTACACTGACTACCAGTAGAGCTTGGTGACTTGTGTCACTTGGTGAGACAAATTCATGCCAACAACCCAGTGATGTCTTAGCATCATTGTGTTTGGACCATCAGTGCACATGTCAGCGTGGTGAAAAAGTATACCTATAGGTGATTATGAAACTAGTTTGGACATCCTGGAAGAGTTTAGCAGATTGCACATTGAGAAACTGCTCTATTAATGAAACCTTGAACAAATGTAAGATTTGAGGTAGTACTTTTAAATCATGAATTTTTTTTTTTCCTTGAAAGGTGGTAACTGTGCCTTTCCTCCTTCCTGGTTAGAGTGGGCCTGACTCTTCTTCACTGGAATAAGAGATGGGCCAGAACATGAAGTATAAGTAATTAGAAGCTAGAATTTGGAGGGTGCATAGAAAGCACTTGATTCCTTAGGCTTCTAAGATAGCTGAAACTGGAAGCCCATAGAACCCACTGCCTGGGAGTGGGATGGGTAGTAACCTCTACAGCTATAGGAAGATCAAATTTGAAAGTTGCCATTTACTACAGTGTGTCTCTTGATCGTGATTTCCCAAGGTGTTAATAGTCTTGCTGGAAAGGGTTTCCATAGTCAGATTAGTTTGGAGATATTCAATTTCAAAAAGCAAATCTAATTATTGTGAGGTTTCTCTGAATTTTGAAAGCAATATGTATTATAGATTCCAATAAGAGACACATAGTTTTCTGTGTTTCCTAATTTAAAATATAGACCCCCCTTTTGGGGGGGAATGTGAAGGATTATTACACATTGGGTACCACTGAATAACAAGTAGAGAAAATGATTGGGTCTTATATCATTCTTCACTTTTAAAAAGTGTCTTTTAACCTTTTCATTTTTTTCTTCCATGAAAAGCAGGAGGATAAAGGGTTAGAAATATGGATGCCAAAGCCCCTAGGTTTGAATTCTGGCTCCTCTGCTTACCACCTCTCTGACCTTGGGCAAATACTTGACATCTCTGTTTCAGTTTCTCCATCTGTAAAGCAGAAACAGTAACAGACCCACCTTGGAGGGTAGTTGTGAATATTATTGCATTCGTTACCATCAAGTAATTAGATATCTGGCCTTTGATGACACTCAATAAATGTTAACTTATTATGATCTCCTTTACCTGTGTATGTTAAGGAGCAGGAGCCCTGGTGATTAAGTTAATAGGTTATATGTTAGGCTGCCAACTTCCAGGTCAGCAGTTTGAATCCACCAGCTGCTCCAATGGAGAAAGAGGAGGCTTTTAGGGGATGATTGGCAATTTATTTGTTGTTTGTTTGCTTTTGGTTCTTGTTGGCTTTGTTTTTGGCCTTTGCCTTAATAGGACCACCAAAGTAAACTAGTGTTGTTTGTAACCCATGGACAAGTAGATGGAGTCTGGTCTCCCACGTAATTCTAGCCCCAATCCAAGAACAGTTAGTTCTAATAACATGGCCCTGCTCAATAATCACCTTCATGAAGCGATCACTGAAGATAAGGTTGTTATAGCAAAGTGTAGTGAAGAAAGCAGATGGTGCCCAGCTATCCATCGGAATAGTGTTTGGGGGTTTTAAAGACTTGTATCCAAACAAGCAGCCACCTAAAGTGAGGCATGAACTATGTCCACATGGAAGAAGCACACCAGTTGTGTGATCCAAAGATGACAATAACAAAATCCAAAAATGATTAAGGGAACAATATCAGAACTTAAATTGTGAACACCCAATTTGTAAAAAGCTATGGAGGACAGTGGGAGCCCCAAATCCATCTGCAGACCATCTAGTGAGATTAAGCATCTGGCAGATCCCCTCTCTTTACTATCAGACATAGATTATTGTAAACGATTATGGTGGATTGAACCATGGGATATTATGATACTTGGTCAGTTGACCTCTCTCTTGACCCAACCTGAATTTGTTCTAGGCTCAAATATTTCTCACTTATTCCACGACAAATTTTTTCTCTGGCTTTTAAAATATTGTTGGTGGTCTTTTCTTTCTTACTCTTTTTTCCCCCATTTATCTTTGTATTGTTATTGTTTTCTCCTTTCTGTTTCGTTTGTTCTTTTTTATTGTTTCCATTAGTTTCCCAGTTTATGAAGCACAGAGGCGTGGATACCTAGAGATAACTGATGCAATGGTTTATCAGGGACAGGGGTGGGTAAGGGGAATTGGTGAGCAAATAAGGAATGTGGGAGGGGGTAGGGAGCACTAGAACTGATTGTGATGATGTATATAAAACTTTTCAAAAGCGATTTAGCAATTGAAGTATATGATATGTAAGGATTATATCAAGAAAAGTAGTAAAAAAAAAGAAACCAAACTTGACCTATGGTTACCGTGGGTGAAGGGAGAAGAGTCTTTGCTTAGGGGTATTGAGTGTATGTTATTGGTGGAATGATTTGGAAAAGGGTATCAATAATGGTTGTACACCATAGTATAATCACTAGCCCTGAATTATACACGTAGAAGTTGTTGAATTGAAGAATATTTTGTTGGGAATATTTTTACCACAATTAAAATAATCACATGAACAACAATGAGTACAAGAAAAAAGATATGGTTCTAAAATCAATTTTGTTAATGATTGTACAACTCTTCTTGATATGATTGAACTATTGAATTGTATAATATGTGGGTGAAGTGCCAAAAAAACTGTTTAAAAAGAGAGAAAGAGGAGGCATTCTACTGCCATAAATACTCAAAGGGCAGTTCTAGTCTGCCCCATAGTATAGCTCTATGAGTCAGATTCGACTTACTGGCAGTGAGTTTTTTGAATACTTAGTGGCAGTGATACTTGGATACTTACTGGCAGTGAGTTTTTTAAATACTTAGGAAGGAGCCTGGCGCACAAGTGGTTGCAATTAGCTACTAATCAAAAGATTGGCATTTTGAACCCACCCCATGGCTTTGGGGGGGTGGGGGAGGCCTGTTTACCTGCTTCTATAAAGATTACAGACACGAAAGTCCTATGAAGCAGCTGTACGCTTCACACGCAGGATTTCCATGAGTCAGGCTGACTCAGTGGAGCTGACTACAACTACATGCAGGGGATGGATTCAGTGGTAGTGTGAAGGGCATAGGGTTACTGTGGAGGTTACCGGTAAAGTCTGGCCACGCAGGGAGGCCATAGGCGACGAGAAGAGTGGGTCTGTGCATGGAAGCATAAGCATTTTCTCTTCTCAACCCTGTTCTGTGGAGCCTGTTAGAGAAGCAGGTACATATTAAGAAAATTATTAACCAAGGTGAGATTCCAAGTCATCTCAAAGAATAATAGCTGGTTACTAAGGATATTACTGCCTTAGTGTTAACAGCCTTGATTTATATTAGTACATTGCTTGAATATCATTATTGCCTCATACATAACTCTTAAGGAACTTGGCTGCCTTTCATTCACATTTTAAAAACAGGAAGAGTATGTGAACATAATTAGATTTAATAGACAAACACTTTTTCTTTCTTTTTTATCATTTTATTAGGGGCTCATACAACGCTTATCACAATTCATACATACATCAATTGTGTAAAGCACATTTGTACATTCATTGCTCTCATCATTCTCAAAACATTTGCTCTGCACTTAAGCCCCTGGCATTAGCTCCTCAATTTTTACCCTTCCTCCCCACTTCCCCCTCCCTCATGAACCCTTGATAATTTATAAATGATTATTTTGTCATATCTTCCTTGACACTTTTAACCTGAATAAAATCCATAAATAAAAGCTACAATTTATAAAACACATGTGAGAGATTTAAATATACAGTCCTGGGGAGAGCAAGTACATTTTTAAGTTTCTCGAGAACTAATTGTCCATTGTGGGGATATTAGCTAATGAAAATTACAGCTCTGTAAGTGAGAAATGTCACACAGACCATATAACCCCAGGGTTTTAAGGACTGTCATGCATTTCCTCCTTGTTTGGATAGTGAGCATCTGGAGCCAGAGTAAAGAAATGTCTTTCCCAGAGCAAAAGCAAGGCTGACCATGGTTCTCTAGAGTCAAAGGACTCATCCACCTTGATGCAGGCTTTTGAAAGTTCTCATATATATTTTTGTGAATTACATCTTTTTGTAAAGTGAAAACAGATTTTGCGCATCAACTGCATGTACTTGGCTTTCCTGGGGCCTTAGTAGAGAGAGCTCAGACTTCACCCAGCTTGGCCCTGGGGTAGACTCTCAGGAATTTGCTTTACCTGTAGTATCATTTTGGGAAAAGGTTTTATCTCTTGGAGCCTGTTTTTTCATCTGTGAAAATGGAACTATAAGAACTTCCAGTGAATTATTTAAAAACTGTCAAGTATGTATCTGGCATGAAGTAGACCTTGACAAATGTTCAATTTCTTTCTCTTTATTTAATTTTAAATGGTTTTGATATGTTATTTGCATATCCCTAGTAGACTTGAGAACATGTATAATTCATGGAGAACTGTGTAATTGTTTAACTGTATTATCAGACTTCTTCAAAACATAAAATATATCTCCTAGAGTGAAAATGCACACAATCAAGACACAGGCACTGATATTTCATTAGAAACAGATATATGTAAGTTTTAAAAATGTATTCTCTTACCATGTAAGTCAGAGATGGGAAAATACGATCCTTTTCATTTAAAAAAGTCCATGTTAAAATTTTATAGCAATTCTAACAAAAGTGCAAAAATCTTACTGAAGATACTCTATAACAGAAAAAACTGCTTTTCATTTTAAAATGCAGGAAATAGAAATAAACATTTTTTTTTACTGTTTTCATGGTCATAAATATCTATACTATAGCAATCTCTCAATTATTTTGGTCTTTCTTAGAAATAGGCCAAGAGACAGTTTAAAATGAAAAGGGCAAGAAAAAATTTAAGAGGCGTTGTAATCATGAGATTATTATTTTTGTGGTTTTCTGTGGATTCTCTGAATACTTTCCATGCCAAGTGTCACACTGCCTTCTTTCTTTCTTAGTGTGCTCTTGCTGCTGATGAAGTAGTATTTAATCAGAAGGATGTGGAGATGAAGGAACTGAAGAATCAAGTGCAGATGCTGGTACTAGAAAACAAAAGCCACATTCTATCATTGAAAGAAGCACAAAAAGTAAATAGATTGCAGGTAAGGCTTCTCTAGACGTAGTTGAAATACCCAACTGCCATCAAGTCAGTTGTGATTCATAATGACCCTTGAGACAGTCGAACTGCTCCCTAGAGTTTCTGACCCTGTAGATTTTTACATGAACAAACAGCTACATCTTCTATAAGACTGCTGGTGGATTTGAACTGCTGACCATGAGATTAACAGCCCAACCGTCCACTACCAATAGAACTCCTTTAATTGAGATATAACCTAACTTAGTTAAAAATAGGACTAAATTAAATAGAATAACAGTTTGTGTGATTAATTTATTCAACAATTCTTACCTGCATAATTTAATGACATTAAATTGATTCTAACTCTGTAATGCCACAACCCTTTAATACAGTTCCTCGTGGTGACCTCCAACCATAAAATTACTTTTGTTGCTACTTCATAACTGTAATTTTCCTACTGTTATGAATTGTGTAACCCCTGTGAAAGGGTTGTTCGATCCCCAAAGGGGTCACAACCCACAGGTTGAGAACCACTGCTATATAGGCTATAGTAACCTTATATAGGACAGTAGAACTGCCTCATAGGGTTTCCTAGGCTTAATCTTTTTTTGGTTGTTGTTTGATGAAATCTTGGATAAAGATTTAACGGATAAATTTTTTTTCCTTTTTAAATCATTTTATTAGGGGCTCATACAACTCTTATCACAATCCATACATACATCAATTGTGTAAAGCACATTTGTACA